TTATCACAAAGTGGTATTTTAAAAATGCAGTTTTGCGGTCCAATTACTTCACAGGTCACATGGCCTCAAAGCACTGACCTTAGAACTTAACAGCCATCTATAATATTTCCATGAAAAATATGTTCCAGGCTCCAAACAACATTCTTTTAGGCAAACTTTTAGAACGCAATCTGCTTAGGAACTGTCTCTACTGGTCTGTGATACGTTTGTTTTGCACATGAAGTTTATTTCAGACTCTTTTCTACGGAGATATTTCCTGCCCTTGGAAGATGACTTCAAATAATAAATTGTCACCAAAAATGGACATGAAACTTTCAAAAAGCAGTAGGGAGGTGGAAAAGATGAACAAGCTGAAAACAAGTCCATTTTGGGAGGGTTCTGAACATCCTGGTTAAGGGAGTTTTTCATTTTAAAGGAAAAAGTATTCATCTGATATGTTTCTTTGTTCATAGCACTTAATATAGAATTCTACAATGTTAAAAATAGGAAGTCAGGTTTATATGGTGTTTGCTTTAATGATACTAAACTGCCTGGAAATAGCAGCACATGCTATAACAAGTTTCAGATATTAAAAGAAAAGCTACAATGCTGAACTCTTTTCTAAACTTTTATATGAAGTCCCAGGCTTTGTGGACATTCAGGAGCAAATCAGGGCTAATACGGGAAGTTCACAGATGGTATAATGGCTTCAGGCATCCCAATTATATTAAAAAGTTGAAAGTGGCAGATTCATATCCTCCCCTTTTACATGTCATAAATTCCAAAGTGTTGGTGTCAAACTGTGTCAATTGCACTCATTTATTAATACTTGGAATACCATCAGTGAGCTTCCTAGCTGTTATTATCCATTTATTCATTTACAGCCATCTAATACTAACAGCAGCAGCCACGGTTTTCAGTCCTTTCCCTGAAACCATACATGCATTGCCTCAGGGAGACTTCCATAAGCCTGCATCTGGGGAGGGGGAGGAGGAAACAGCAAACTGCAGGATCTGCTGATCTTGGATATGGGTCTCTCTGCAGGAGCTTCCAAATGTGTCTTTGTTTATGTTCTGGGCTCTGGGTTGTTGTGGGGCACGGATCTAAGGAGGAAGGAATTTGTTGCCTCAATAAAAAAAAACTGTGTAATTAAGATGTGGAAGAAAGGTTAGGTGAAAGACAGAAAAAAGACTATCTCCAGGTATTCTAAAACAAATATTTACACATTCAAATATCATCTTTTTTTTAACCATCTGGTCCTCAGTCTTGGAGGCAGTGGTTAATAAACGCCGACGTCTCCACACAAAATAAAAAAATAAATAAAATAAAACATGTATGGCAACGATGCACATGATTCAGACCCAAAAACTACCCCGCATAAAACATTCATTATAATTAATGCAGTGTTTCTTGGCTGGTATTATTAAGACCTTAATTTTCCACTCGGTGGAACTTACTGTATGTAGTAGAAAAATCACTGGCTCTGAGTCAGAAATGCCTTGATTCTAATCCAGCCCCTGCCACTTCTTAGCCATGCCATGTGTGCAAATTAGTTGACCTCTCTGAGCCTTGGGTTTGTTTTCTTTAAAATGTGAGTTATAAGGAAATATTAAATGTGATGATTGAACAAAAGAAAGAAAGTAAAACAACTACACAGTTCCTCTAAATTGCAGCTTTCCTCCCTCACCCCTTTCCTCTTTAGGAACTGCACAGACATTTTTAATAAGAAAGGATATAAGTGATCAAAATAATGATTCTGAAAACATATGATTCATTGCAGACATTGGCAGTGTGTGCCCTCCATAGTATTGGGCATGAAAGAGTTAAGTGGGAACGCCACCTTTGAGTCCTGGGGGAAGGGTGGAAGGGAAGACAGTAATAGTGGATTTAATAGTGTTTCACAGGCAGAGTCCTGGTGCTGTGCAAAGCTCCAGATCGTGTTTCTTCTTAGACGCCAATCAGTCAGGAAGTGATTCTCAAAGAAGTTTACATTGCCCTACTCTCCTTACACTGCTGCACAGTAGGAAACCCAGGACACAGAATACTCACAAGAAAGATGCTAGCATTTCCTGGGATAATAGCTAAAGCAAATGAGCCTCACGTCACATAACATATTATAAGGAAGCAAAGTCTCCTGCACAACATTATACTAAAAAGACCAAACTTATATTAAGCCTTGAACAGTTGCATACGTAAAGACCAAGAAAATAATCCAAATAGTAATCAAAAGCTCTAATTCTTCTTCAATTCCAGTTCATGTGCTACATTTTGAGAAGAATGACACAAAAGTATACATGCTCTCACACACACACATGCACACACACACACAAATATACACACATCCCATGCAACACACATTCACACCTTTTGGTCAATAGAAGAAAAGAAACCTAGATCATATCAGAACACAGACAGTCTTACTGGTCAGGCTGTGTCTTCACCACATGCTTAATGGAGAAAAATGGGTAAGGTATATCAGAACTTCATCAAAGAACATTCCAAAGCTGTTACATACATTTATGCTTGTCAAGTGTATAACCTGCACATAATTCTCTTTTATTCTTTCAACCAGTATTTATTTTCTGTTAGCTAGAAGAGGGCATGGGCTTTGTCTATATTGCTTACTTTTAAACTTGTGACCACCTGGCATGTAGTAGGTGCTCAATAAATATTTGCTGAATAAATTGATGAACACTTTCAATTCTAAGGGGGATTCTGCCATTTTAAATAAGCAATTACAATAGAATAAACTAATTTTATTTTTGATATCCCAAGGAACTCAAGCCCCTTTGTTAGTAGTTTTCTTTTTAGAACACTGTCTGAACTAGGCCTATGCTCCAGCTGACTGGGGCAAGGCACATTTTTTAGATTCACGTGGTAGCCTGTGGAGAGGTATCTACATGCAAGATAAAGACATTGCTTATATTTGTACAGATATTACACTACGGTGCAAATAACCAACTCTATCTTTTGTTTTTCTTGAGAGAGTCTCACTTCTGTCATCCAGGCTGGAATGCAGTGATGCAATCTCAGCTGCAACCTATGCCTCCCAGGTTCATGAGATTCTCCTCGTGCCTCAGCCTCCTGAGTAGCTGAGACCACAGGCACGAATCACCACGCCCAGCTAACTTTTGTATTTTCAGTAGAGACAGGTTTTCTCCATGTTGGCCAGGCAGGTCTCGAATTCCTGACCTCAAGTGTTCCACCCGCCTCATCCTCCCAAAGTGCTGGGATAACAGATGTGAGCCACTGCTCCCAGCCTACCAACTCTGTCTTCTATACATTGATTCTAAATCAATGATTTATGAATTTATCCAAATTGATTTTTCTCTATTTATATTTTCAACTTCTTCTCCTTCCAGGCAATGAGCTCCATGCCAGCATTCCCCATTCCTTCAAAATAATACCTTGTATTTGTTCTTAGAATTCACCACAAGCAGTTCAGCAAAATGTCACTGGCGCCTCCTACAAGATACCATAACAGCAAAATTTTATCTTTACTATAAAGATTTTTTACTTTTTCTAAAGTTTAAATTTTTTCCACTTCTTTCTTCCTATGTGGTGACCTTACAAAGAACCATCATGGTCCAGTTACAGGATTTCCTCTTACAGAAACCACATTTTCTTGCCTTCATTAGGTCATGCAAGTTTAACCACCAAGTGACTGTCTTCATCATACCTTCCAGTGGGCAGTTCAGGGACTGGAGGGGGACCCACCAGTCTGAAGACCCAGCACATTTTCTATAATTTTCTTCTAGAAAGGGATTTCATTAACAATCTCCCAACTTCCTTCATATTTGTAACAGAAGTGTCACAATCTAGTCCCTAACAACCAAACCATTTTCATTATTAAAATAAATGTCATCATACATTTGTCAAAACTCATTATGTACAATCTAAGAGCAAAGCCTAATGCAAACTTGGACTCTGGGTGACAATGATGTGTGAATGTAGTTCACCCATTTTAAACGAATGTACCAGTCTGAGGGGAATGTTGACCACGGGACAGGCTGTGCATGTGTGAGAGCAGGGGAGATATGGAAACTCTCTACTTTCCACTCAACTTTCTTGTGGACCCAAAACTGCTCTAAAACAAAACATAAAGTCAATTACAGTAAAATACCTGCATAGCACATAACTTCACAACACTGTTGAAAGCATTTTACTTATTTAGTGAATATAAGTATATGCAATTCTTGTGACAATATTATGAGAGAGATATTACTACTATTATCCCCTTTTGGCTGATGAGACTTCAGTTACCTGACCCTGAATGTCATGACTGAGAAGTACCAGAACTGCCGCCTGACTGCAGCCGACGCACCCGCCCTTCCTCCGCTTGGGTGCTTCTCAGTCATGCCAAACTAAGTCTCCAGCCACACATTCCTCCCCTTCGCCCCAAGCACGGTTCTTTAAACTATTGGCTATGGTTGGTCTCATAGGCGTATTGTGTACTTAACGGTACATATACATGCGTAAAAATATTTCTGCATGTGACACTCTGAAGGATATGCTTTATATTTAAAAAAAAAAAAAAAGTTTAAGTGCAATAATTCCCAACAGTTTTCTCAGTAAAGACGAATATAAGGATTCACTTGAGTTCATCAAAGTGCCCCACAGATTCTTTGGTTATCTGTCTAATTCCGAAGTAATTCTGGAGTTTGTATAATTCACTTGGCAGTCTACTACAACCTTGATTATCCCACGGTTATTTAAGGAAGTTTTTATTTTTTAACATATTTTCTGTTTTACAAATTATCTGATGATGTGTATCATTTCTAAAAACAGAACAAAATCAAAATTTTTTAAAAGTTTAGTCAAGAAAAGGACATCTAAATTGTTTAGATAACTGTAGTGACATAGACCAGAGAAAGCTTCAAAGGAAATCACTGTTTGTTCGTAAAGTGCAAATCCCTTTCCGGGGAATTAGTATCATGAAAATTATTACCAAAAAATCATAAGTATATGCAGGGTTTTGTTCTGAATATATCGCCAATTAAAAAAACAAATTATTTTTTCAGATGGAGTTGCTTGGATACAAGGAGAATCTTACAGAATACAAATGAACTTGAAGGCATCAGTAATATTTTCAAAATAATAGAGAAATGACATAAAGAGTGAAAGAGGTAATTGAAACCTGTCTTTGATGGGAATAACACTTAAAAGGAGCATTGTACCTATCTGCTGGCAGCTTTAAAAAATATTAATGATTACTGAAATTGAGAAATGTCAATAGTATGAAACGAGCAAAACTACTTCCCTAATGAGATTTTACAAGGTGAGCAATTGTTTTGAACATTTTCTAACCTTGACTTTTCTGTTTATCTTAAGAATTTAAAAAACAAAACAAAACAAAAAACTAGTGTTTAAATATGAAAAAGAGACTTGTGGCAAATTCAGAATATAATAATTGATCATTAAAATAGAAATGCCTTCTCTAACCAGAAAAATGAATAAGGAAATTATAACTTACATTCTTTGTGGATGTCTTTACAGAGATAAAGTAGTGGAATATTTACTTGAAATAACGTTCATCATCAATGCTGAAGTTTACAGAAGACAAAAATATAGAACTCATTTGTTCACAGACAGCCCCAGGACACACACAGTGGATGCATTGTGTTCTCCTGGGTTGCATAACTACTTTGAAAGAAGTTTTCTTTCCTGTGTCATAAAAGAAGACTTTTTGGCTCTGCCAGGATACTCTACCATTTGGCCCCACAGACTTCAAGCACGCCTGAAGATATGTGCCAATTGGTTGTTGGTTTTTGAAAATCCTTCTGATCTCTGCTGAGTTACCCAATTGGATTCAGAAGGGTCTGACCCACGTGCCACGTTCCAGCTGTTTGCTTGTTTGTTTTTAATCTCAACCTGGTTTAATGGGAAGAAGGTGAGTCACCTTGTGTGTATGTCAGCTGATATTTGTGTCATGGAAACTTAAAGGGGATAGACTTGAAATTGAAAAGATAAGATTGTGATTGAATGAGCCTTGTATAAACTATGTTTTGTTATTGTTCTCTTGCTTACTTACCTTGTAAACAGATTCCTTGAGTCTTAAACCAAGGATCTTAATCTTTGGTACTTACAGAGCCTTTCTTCCATGAAGCAGAGTTATTTAGGATGCTGCCAGCAAATGAGCTCTCAATTAGATCTGTCGTCATCATCATAGAACTTACTATGGTCTGATAGTATTCAAAGTGCTTACTTCAATTAATTTCTGGAAACAATTTCACACATTTGACTCTATGTATTTTTCCATCTCATGGTAAGGAAACAGACACAAAAAGGCCAAATGACTTTTTCAAGGACATTCAGCTAGGAAAGGGCAAAGACAGGCACAGATGAAGACATAATCACAGGCACAAACGACGTGTCTGATAATAGAGATCCTAGGGATCTGTGAATGTCAATAGGAATTACAAATATGAAAATTATTTGTTGAATCAACAAAGTGGAAATAAAACTATTTTTTCTTAGCTGATTTGGTAATGACTAACAGTCAACATACCTATTAAGTGATTTTGGTTGAAATAATTTAATTTGTTGTTAATAATAGTTCCCCCCTTTAAATGTAATGATACAGTTCCAATATCTCGATGAACAAATAAAATAGGAGAAAAAATTCTATATTTTAGTCATTTCTGCTTATGGCCTCAATTTCAGATTCCAGAAATCCATTACTAAGTAGTTATAAAGCAATTACAGTCGTTAGACTAGCCCAGGATGGTTGGACAAAGTTGAATATTTCATGACTAAAAACAACAACCAGGCACAATGGCTCACACCTATAATCCTAGCACTTTGGGCGGCTGAAATGGGTGGCTGGCTTAAGCCTGGAGTTCGAGACCAGCCTGGCAATAAACAGAGACCTTGTCTCTACAAAAGATACGAAAATTAGTTGGTGTGGTGGTGTGTGCTTGTCGTCCCAGCTACTTTGGAGGCTGAGATGGGAGGATCACCTGAGCCCAGGAGGTTGAGATTGCAGTGAGCTAAAATCGTGCCACTGCATTCTGTCGCTGCACTCCAGCAGCCTGGGTGACAGAATGAGACCCTATCTCACAACAAAACAAAACAAACAAATCAATTCTCACTTAAAATAAACATACCTAAGACATCATTGTATATTTTAAATTCTTTCTAATTAGAGCAATGTTACTGAATATATTTTAAAGAGGCTTATTATAAAGAAGATACTTACAAGGTCATTGTACTGAATTCAAATTTTTTGTTATATGGAAGTTGGAGAACTTTGGGATTATGAAATGTTAACACAAGTAAAAATATAAAGTCCGATCTTTGATAAGAAGATACTTTGTCTTAGTCAGTTTGGACTGCTACAACAAAATACCAAAGATGGGGTGGCTTCAACAACAGACATTTATTTTCTCACAGTTCTGGAGGCTGGGAAGTCTAAGATCAAGGTACTGGCCGATATGGTTCTTGGTGAGGGCATTCTTCCTACCTGGTAGATAACTACCTTCTTGCTGTGTGTTCATACGGTCTTTCCTCAGTACCAGAGCATGGAGAGAGAGAAAGTTCCTGTGTTTCTTCCTTTCCTTTGAAGGATATTAATCCCATCACGTAGTCCCCAACCTCATGATCTTATATAAGCCTAAATACCTCCCAAAGCCCCACCTCCAAATACCATCAAGATGGGGATTAGGACTTCAACATATGAATTTGGGAGGAGCACAGTCAGTCCATAGACACTTCTAAGAAATCTTTTCCAAGTAGTCCAGATTCATCTAGTATGCTAACCACACTAGGCTACAGAAGTGACCTGAGGGCAAGAAGAAAGATCCTTCTTTCAGACCCTAAAGTCATCATTAACTGGCCCAGGAAGGATCCCCCAGCATGGAAGATACCCAAAGACTGAACAATAATATGAGGTTTGAGGCTCACAAATAAACCTCATTAAGAGAGAACTGAGAAAAATCAGAGTCAGAGAAAGAAAGAAAAAAGGTATGGCGGTAGGTAATGGGATTTGAGGTAAGAAAGGAAACAGGAAGGAGCATAGCAATAGGAGGGAAGGGGAGGCGAAGGGGGAAGGTCAAAGGAAGAGAGAAGGAAGAAGATGACAAGAGTGAGCGTAGTTTCGCTTTCTCGGCATTAAAATCCTAAACTGGACACTCTAAAAATAAAAACTACAGGGGGTGGGGATTTTACTTGTAAATAATTTAAAAATCACTAAGCTTCCTGCCATGTTAGTGCCGGCTATAGATTCCAACAACCTAAAGTGATTTTAAATGCCCCTCTCTAGAGAGTAAGTAAAAACATCCATCTCCCGCATAGAACAAAATTCCCTTTCTTGATGGAACTGAATGGGGTCAGAGGCATTTTTTTCTTGAAATCTTCACCAGCCCAAACTATAGACATAAGCCAACTTTCACAGAGGCTAGATTGTTAAGTTGTGGCTCGTCACCTATAACCCATTTTTATAAAATGTGAGTGAAGGCTACTATATTGTTAGTGGCCACCTGTGGACATAAAGAATTTATAAGAGAAAAGTCAATAATGTCTTATCATGTAAGCACATCTGAAATACTAATGTGATTTTGGTATTAAGTAAACACTAAAGCCAATGTGGTGACTAGTTGTATGTATGATACACATATACATATGCATGTATGTATACCATTTAAGAAGAAACATCAAAAGAGTTTAAAATAGACTGATTTTGTGACAGCTGAAGAGCTAATTGTTGCTTTCCACTATTAAAACAGGGTAAATGCCACTAGGAGAGGAATTGCTCAGCTTTAGGAAGGGGTAATTAGGTTTAATGGAATCAGTTGAGAAGGGGAACATTAAGCCTATCGGGAAAAATTTCCTCCCAATGAAAACTATTAGATAATGGAATGACTTCCCAAGAGAAATACTTGAAATCCTATCACTGAGGATATGTAGGACTCAGCTGGACATTACAAGACATTCCATATCTCAGACTTTATGCCCTTTTATGTCCAAAATATTTTAGTATTTTATTTGATGAAATATATTCTAATCCTTTCTTCAGGACTACATATATAAAGAGACTGTATATGTGTATAAATATGCATATATAGTATAAATACATACATATATGTACATTTGGACTATGTATGTATAGTCCAAATATACACATCAATATGCGTATACATATATACTAAATATACATATACATATGTATTATACATATATAGTCTAAATATGGTACACATGTGTATATGTGTATGGAGAGAGAGAGAGAGGTAGATAGGCAGGTAGGTAGATTAATTGATAGATAGATAAATACATACAAGGGAGAAAAACAGAAAAAGAACCTTAAGATTTGAGGTTCTTTTCTGTTTGTTTTTAAACTTGCAGGTTACAAATGAAAATGAAAACACTAAAAACTGTGACTGATGAACAATAAAGAAATATACTCAGATAACAAGCCCCTCCATTTTTCTCCTTGTACTAATTTCACCCTCAAGAGTCAGAAGCAACCAGGTTTGCATTTATTTTCAGTTAGTACTGGTTGCTTCTGAGAATAAGCCCAACTATTAATCTGAAATTCCAATAAAAGCACCAAAAAAAAAAAAAAAGCCTTAGATGACAAAAATTAAAAATGTTCAGACTCTTAGTGAGAATTTAAGGTTCAACGACTTATCTAACTTTTTCTTGTAAAAAGAACAATCACTTTCAGAAAACCTATGCCCCCATGGAATGACGCATCCACTTCCTCCTAAACATAGATCACATTATCAGTGTTGCCAAATATATCAACAACCGCCTGACTGTTGAACACCATGTTTATCTAATGGACCATAACAGACAGCGAGAACAAGCACAGTTGGAGACAGCAATCTCTAAAAGTATTTCCAAACCAGCACCATTCTTTATTTTTTTTCTTTCCTTTTTCAATTAAGGGAAAGGGAGTTATTAAGCAAGACATACAAAAGCGCTGCTAGGATAGCTCCACTGAAACCATTTCTTTCTGCTGAAATGTGAAATAATTCTGGAGGGTCACATTTTTACGTATTCACATGAGAACTAGGACAGAGAAGAAGGAGGGCCGTGGAGTCAAGTTTACACTGGACACCCATTCAAATCTGTCATGAATTGCATAGAGAAAATTCCAGAGGATTCCAGAGATAAATTCTCAACTTTTCCCCTCTGCAGAGTGAAACAGTTCAAAGCTGAGGATCAGGATGGGACTGACAGGGATTTTATTTAAATGCTTGTGAGAAAAATAATGCAATTATTCAAATGTTTCACATGGTTTAATTTCAGGAATAAGACAAATTTGTTATAAAACGTTGAGAAAATACAGGTAAGTCAAAAGGAGAAAATAAACCACATAGAATCCAATAATGCAGAGATAAGTGCTTTAAAATTTTGGTATATATTCTCCCAATCTGATACGTTCTGAGACAGGTATTTTAAAAACAAAATAGAATCTTTTTGTATATATAATTTTGTGTAGTGATATTTTTCGATACATACCATATTCTGCACGTATTTTTCATAACAATATTTTTCCATAACACCATTTAAATTGCTATTTGATGCTCTGTTACATCAAGGCCCTCT